AACAATGCAATGCCCTAAGGCTTTCTCTTCAAAACCGTTTGTTTGAAGATTCAAAAGTTCAATTGGTTTCGTTCGTGACTAACAAAAAGTAGTGGATGTTATATAACCGAAACGTCTGACAGTTTTCAAAATCTATCCAGTTGCTTGAGTAACAACTCCTTGTGTATTGGAACCTAACCTTTATTGAGTATAAAGATCTCGAGCAACAGTCTTGAAAATGAAACTTCGGGGCTATTTTTTCATGTCCACCAGAGACAGACAACTCTCTAGTATAAAGATCTCTAGCCTGGAGCGGGACGTGCAGAACCTGGCGCACGAGCGGGACCTGATGAAGAGACAGCGGGACCAGGCCGTACGCGCGGAGTGGCTCGCCAACACCGAGAAGGACAAGCTCGCCAGGGCCAGGGACGAGATACTGGACAGGGAGAGGGACAGTGACAAGGTTCGTCATTGTTCTGTTCATCATTTTTGTACGTAAAGAAAGCTAACTTAAGGCTTAGACATATTGAATAAGGTTTTAGAGAGCCTACATATTATTCAGTGTTAGTATTGGTAACGTTACTGTTAGCTTGACTACATCGCGCTTCTAGTAGCCCTTCTATATGGGATGCCTAACCTTCATTGACGTTTCCGACCGTTTGTGTTTACAGTTGATAAGTGAAAGAAACGAGGCCCTAGCGACCATCGCGAGACTGCAGCACGAGATCCGGCACCTCTCCGGAGAACTGGAGAGGAGGAACGGGAGACCCCGGACCTTCGAGATGGAACAGGTTTCATTTTTAACATCTCTAAGCAGATCCTACGATGGAAAGACAGTATCCATCGGCCAGAGAAGGCTAATGGTCACTCCTGTGGCCAGTGGGCACGGTCTTGCCACCATAGGATCTGCTTGGAGATTATTAGGTTTACGGCTTGATATCACTAGAACTAGCACTGCTGAGGAAACCTTATGCATGTACATGGGTGTATTTCTTGTATTGTAATATTATTCACACGTTCGTAGAAGAACTTTAGAATGGAGAAGAATTGCACGGCAATTGTACAAGGTAAAATGTATGGCAACAACTCGGTTTTCGACGATGAGAAAGTCCCACACAAAGTCTTTCTTTAGTCTAATTATCATTGGTGAGCACATTTAAAAGATCCTATAGATAATGAAATATCGTTTATCTAATGTTGGTCACTTCGACTTTTTGTGAACTTCCCGTCCAACCGCCCAGACGAAGACAGAGCTCCAAAACGCCCTCTTGGAACGGGACCGGGTACTGCAGCAGCAGAGCGCGGTTGTGTCGGAGTTGGACAGTATGCTCAGGGAACGAGACGATGCAGTCAAGGAACGAGACGAGGCCTTCGCGGCCATGGAGAGGGCTTTGGAGGACATCAGAAGGTGCTTCTTGCAAAAAAGAGAGAGAAAAAAAAAAGAAATCGTTATTAAGACTCAATAGGAATACAAAATCTTTGCTTGTAGTCTTGTTTATCTTAGGCCACACTGACTTGATTTTATGGATGACATCTACGTGCGCACATTGATTTTCACTTGTTCTAAAAAAATTCTCCTTCAAGGCGCTAGCCTGGTTGCTATCAAGGGTAGCTAGCAACAATAGGGAGTCGGCAGTAACTACGGAGGATGGCACTCAGGCTACCGGGGCTCCACGGAACTTCAGAACAGTGCCGACTCATAAATGCCGCAAAAGGCCAGCATGTGCCGGCTTGTCGTAAAATACGCTATATACTCCCGCAAATTCGCAATATCAACTTTGCTTGCCCGTAGTTTAGCAGAATTTTTGGCTGGATTTTTTATTCGCCCTCTTGCATTAGTTTTGGGTAGTCATCCAAAAAATTAAGCCGGTGTGACCTTAGTGATAACAGATGCACATGGAGACTGAGAATAACTTTTGCAGACTGCAAAGTTGTTCATCATTGTTCCAGCCTGTCCGCTATTGATCACATTTGTCGCTACGTTTTCCCAGAGCTAACCAGGAGAAGGATTCGGCACAAAACGAGCTGTTACAAGCCATTCGGGAGAAAGAGGCCACGGCAAGGGAACGAGATCACGTGTCCCAGCAGGTGTTTACAATATTGATATGAAGCTAAAATTAAAGTCCAATACATTAAGAGATCGGATTTCATTTGCGACTAATCCCTCGGCTTTTCTCAAGATGAATGACCAACAACGTGGTTTCAGGTCAAAGGTGACAAGAAGTCTGTTTCGCCCCCCGTCTCTATATTGCCTATCTTGCATGGAGTCCAATGTCCTTCTGTGTTGGAGTTTAATTGTAGCTACATATCACGTTGTTCACAAATCCAGTAGCCACAAAAATAGCCGCAAAACGAGCTATGCGAGGAATCCCTTTATTTTGTTTCAGTTTGGGGTACTGCCCATAAATAAGGCTAGGATACAAAACAATCAATAGTGACATCGCCTTTTTGTCTAACAGTATGCTATTAAATTGGATAAGATCGAGTCAACTTACTAGTCTAGAAGTACTACGTTAAAAAGAAAAAAACAACAGAAAATTGACTTTGAAAATCCAGCTTTTCCAGCCTGAAATTGCATCGGATATCTTTAACATACCGTGCGTTGCATACCGACTGTCCAGGCGAAGAAAAAGTACCATGACTTGATACAGGAGCGCGACGCTGCCGTACGGGAGCGCGCACAGACCGTGTACGAGCGGGACCGGCTCGTCAAGGAGCGGGACGAGGCCGTGCTCGAGAGAAACCAGGCCGTGGTGGCCAGGGAAGCGGCTTTGAAGGACGCCGAGAGGTATTTTGTGTCCCGCATACGAGGCAGTTTTATTCCTGAATAATCAACACAAGCCCTCTACTTAAGCGAGGAAAATTATTCCAAGCTCCCACTACCTGCTCTCGTCTCGACTTTTCGTCTGTAGACCATAGCCGTCTCTTATTCAGTAAAACAAGGGTCGCAAGAACAAGGGTCTTTCGGTAAACGTTTGGCAGGAGTGCGGCGTCTTGCCCTGTGACTCGAACGTTCTTTTCTTCTGGATCGAAACGCGTGACACCTCCATCTAGCTCCTTCCACATTGTACCTGTATATGTTACTTTGTAGATGCAACGTATGCCACTATTCCGTCTGCAATGCAATGCTTGAAACTGCGATTCATTAAAAACAACCCAGCTTGACCATCTCTGCTACGTATCCCCGTGAAACACTCCCCAATGTTGAGACGTGGGATGGTGGGACTGCAGGTGAAGAGATCAAATTTGCTTGCTTACAGCTAGCTAAAATGTATGCATCAGTAGATGGTTGATTGGGTACAATGTAAAAGGAGTTAGGTGAAGGTGCGCAGAAAATGTTCTGCATTTTGTGGTCTAATTTTTCTCTTGTTGCTTTGGAGCGACGTAAATCATCTATCGATGCGTTTTCCCCAGAGCAAACCAAGAGAAAACCGCAGCACAATTTGAATGGGAACGAGCCGCCCGCCAGCAGGAGGCACTAGCCCGGGAACGAGATCAGGCTCTGCAACAGGTACAGAACAGAACAACATTTTGACCTTCACCTCAAGATGGCGACAAGAGGACAGGAAATAAGTTTGCAGTCGGTTAGATCAATACACAATGTACAAAATTTCGCTTGTTGTACTAATTTGTTCGGGTCTACTGACGTTAGATGACTAGTTGACTAAAGATCTATATAATATAGGACATTCTCTTGATACGTAAACAAGGGATAAAACAACCTTATGATTGGCTATTCCGAGGTAGCCTCTACCAGGCAGGGGAGTTGGTCCGCGCTGAGAGTACAGTTTGCCGCTTCCGAACGGGACCACCTCGCCTGGCATATCCCCTGTCTATGTGCCCAATTTATACTCTTTCCAGCCACTTCCCAAAGCCTGGTAGAGACTAATTAGGAAGCATAGCGCAGGGAAAATTACTTTTCCTTGACGATAGTTAACGAAGACAACAAATATGGATCAGACCTTCCTATTATAATCTTAAAAGTGTCATTAATTTCTTCTCCAAACCACCAAGGCGAAGAAAGAGTGCCACGACGCGATCCTGGAGCGAGACGAGGCTGTCCGTGAGCGCGGGACGATCATGCTGGAGTGGGACCGGGTCATGAAGGAACGGGACTCCGCCGTCAGGGACCGCGACCAGGCCGTCAGGGAACAGGAGAAGGCGGCGAAAGACACAGAAAGGTACGTCACTGTAGATGAATACCTGTTTTTTTTATTCCAACATGTAATGGCAAGACATGGTGACGGCACACTCAATTTTTCAACTTATTTACTTACTATGCCTGTATCTGTATAGCCAGTATAAACGCCCTTCGTCGTAACACACCAGATTTGCAGGGATGCGGCGCGGTGGCAGCTAGCTATATCACACCGAAAGACTCAATGTTTGCAGGAGTTGTTTAAAGCTTTCTAGTGACGATGCCCTAACTGTACTTGGTGGCAACGATCCACAACCAACGCCACCGAGAATCCTCATTTCCATCTGAGTAAATTAAAGTGAGGAAAGTCGTGTTAAGTGCCTTTCCCAAGGGCTCATGATCGGTAGTACGGCAAGATTCGAACCCGGGACCTGTTGGTTCTGAGTCGAGCACTCTACCGCGTTACGCCACACGACCCCACTGTTCAACTACAAATTCCGTTAGCCACAACGAATAAATGAACACATGGTGCATCGTCATTTCAGGATCTGTGCTTATAAAACTTTCTTTTGATTATAAATTCCCTCCAGGACAAAACGAGAGCGGGACGTCGCGCACTTCGAACTGGCCAGACTTACCCAGAAGAACGACGCCATCAACCGGGAACGAGAGCACGCCGTGCAGGCGAACAAGATGGCGACGTTCGAACGGGACCGGGCGGTGAAGGAGAGAGAATCGGCGCTGGTCGATCTGCAGAGGGCCGTGCAGGAACGGGGCAGTGCGGTGGCCGAGTGGGAGAAGGCGGTCAAAAAACAGGTTAGGAAAAATCTCTCCTAAATCTCTGCGCGGTCACTGTCATTGGGCTGAACGTGGTTACTGGTTATGTACCACGTGAATTACTAAGTTACTAACGTTATGTATAAATGTGTATATGTGTAAATTTACGAATAAATCCTTTGGTGGCTATAACTAAATTAAGACGGTATCGAAATGGCAGGGAACTATCTATTTGCCACCTAAAGTAAAACAAAATACCACATTGTAGTACAAAAAAGCCAAAAACGCGGCGCTGATGCTTAAATATCTGAAGACAAGAGAATGTTTCCTTATTGGTTACAAATCCCTGAACTATTTCAGATTTATTGAATGAGCCGAAGTTTAAATAAATATATATGATATCAACTAATAAAAAGAATAAAACAACATATTGCATGTCAAAACTACGGTGTTGTGTTGATGATGTATAGGACACTGCCCTGGCTGACAGAGAAAGAGCCATTCAGTTTCTACAAAAGGCAAAAGAGGAGAGAGACAGGGCTGTTAAAGACAAGGAGGAGATGGCCATCGTTATGGAGGTAAGGACATTTTCATGAAATAAGGGATACGTCCTAAACAGAGACACAGTTGCCGTCTGCTTTAGCTTTAGAAAGTAAAGATATGGCCAAGAATTGCCGATTGTCGGTAAGAGCCTTAGTACAGTTAAAAATACCTACCGTATAAAGTAGTGTTGCAATATGCGCAGTCCCTGTCCTTGGTGCTGAACGCGGTTACTGGTTGTGCATCACGTGTAGTGCTACTGTATAAACGTGTGTATGTGTACAAATATGTGTAACAGCTATGAATTGGAACTTTAAATGGTGTAAACTTTATCTTTATGATACATTTTGTCTGACCCTAACCTCTTCCCTTATTTAACAACTCAATGAAAAGCGGTCTGCAGGCTGATTTGAGCTTCTCATGAGCAAAGAATGACTCAAACAAACAAACAAACAAACAAACAAACAAACAAACAAACAAATAGACACGTGAGCTTAAGTCTTGCCATAAACACACATCAGTCATAAACAATGCGGCACTCTCTCTTCAAATTTATAGTTAGTTAAATGCTGGCTGTAGAAAGTAGAAACATTGCGTCAATGCACTACATGGTTTTCCGTAGGAGGAGAGAAGCAATGCAGTTCGAGTTCGCCAGGCGGCGCTCCAGGAGCGGGACTACGCTCTTCAGGCGGCCAAAGAGGCTGTCCGACAGAGGGACAGGGCGATCGCGGCAGAGACGGCTGCTCTGAAAGGGAAGGTCAGGATGTGCAATTTTGGTTGTCATTTGTTTAATAGTAAATCAAAATATTATATAAAACATATATGATAATATATTCGTGAAGGAAGGGAAAGGGAGCAAGAAACTGGAGCGAAATATGAAGCAAAGAATGGATCATTGATAGCGCAAAATACAAGGACTAAAATACACAGAAGTCTACAGGAACCCCTTTCTTTTATCAGCAGTAAGCTTCTATTAGTGAGTGAGTGAGTGAGTGAGTGAGTGAGTGAGTGAGCGAGTGAGTGAGTGATTGAGTGGGTGGGTGGGTGAGTGAGTGAGTGAGTGAGTGAGTG